ATTTGAAATATTTTCAAATTCACACTGAATGCATTTATGACTGTAAAGCATGTGATTAAAATCGAAATCGCAAAATTGATCACAGAAATCGCGATAGTTTTTTTTTGTCCATATCGCACAGCCCTAGCACATAGCCAATCTTCGATAAGTAAAAACGTCAACTATTCTAAAAAAAATAAAAATAAAATAGTGAGAGAAAAAAAATGAGGAGAGAGGGGGGAAACCATCCCCAGCTAGTTTATTTTACTAAAGCTGATGATGGAGTGGGAGTTGTGGAACCGCAAATGGACCGGACACATGGAACTGATAAAAACACAGCATCATCATCCCCACAGATTTTAGGTTAGTTTGATTATTAACTTGATAGATGCAAGGCTCCAGACTGCGACCAAATGGCATTTTGATTTCGTGACCCCGTTACTGCACAGATACAACAGTGCTGCAGATCCAGTGAGAAGCGTTTGAATTCGCCGCACAATGATAAGGTTGCTGCGAGATCTAGTGAGAATCATTCAAATTCTGCACAGAATTCTCTGTTATCAACAGCGCTGACATACGTCAGGAAACCAGAAGCGGTAATGCTAACTGTAACCATGGTGTTGTGGTAGAAATAGTCGAATGCATTACATCATTCATTTCAGGGTTTGTACAACCTTTTGAGAGAGAAATTCAAGCACTTTTCAATGACTTTCAAGCATTTCACACAACTATTTCCAGCACTTTAAAGCTCTAAAATGATCCAGTTTGAATGTTATTTTTAATGGGATGACCAAAATATACTTTGTGGTAAACAAACACTTATGTCAAATTTAAAAAAATACATCAAATCACAATTATAACCAGTAAACGGCAGCAGAGGAGCACTTATTGGCTTAATAGTCATTAATTTCTACTTTTTCTCTATATTTTGAAATTATAAAATCACTACTATAATATTTCAAATCATCAAGAAATCAGATTTTGTCAGAATTTTACACTTTTTTTTGTGTATGAAGTAAGAAAAGTCACAAAGTGCCTTGAAAAACAAACTTTTCTTCAATCTGCCATTAAAATCACACATAATTACTGAAGTTGGTCAGTTCCATATACTAGAACAGTATTTCTCAACCCTGGTCCTGGGCGCCCCCCAACACTGCTCATTTTGTATGTCTCCCTTATCTGACACACCCATTTCAGGTCCTGGAGTTTCTTCTAATGAGCTAATGAGTTGAATCAGGTGTGTTTGATTAGGGAGACACACAAAATGTGCAGGGTTGGGGGGCGCCCAGGACCAGGGTTGAGAAACACTGTACAAGAAGAATAACGGTAAATTTAATAAGAGTGGAATATATAAATATTCTATATAAACATTAGATTTTGCACCTGTTACTGTTGTTAATACAAGTACATTTTGTATGCATCTTAACTCAAGCTTAGTGCTTTACAGTCAAATCTGTATAAACAATAAACAAAAGAAAAATAAACATGAAATGAACATGTAATATTATTAGTAACTGCACTTATTAATGCAAAACAATAGTAATTTTATGATTAAATGATCTATATTTTAATACTCCTGCACATCACCCCCAACGCTACCAAATCTGCTCCTGGTGCCACCATCTGTAGAACTTGGTGGCGCTGGTGCCACTGCTCTCAAATGTTAGTCTGGAGCCCTGTAGATGTATATTGCTTTTTGTGTTTGAACAAACTCTATAGGCCTAGTATATTCGCTTATGGGTTGAGAAATTCATTTTGCGCATTATGATGTAAGCTTTTAATTTAAACGCATTTTAAGCATTGTGGTTTAACGTGTTATGATGTAAGCTTTTAATTTAAACGCATTTTAAGCATTGTGGTTTAAAAACTAATTTAACTGTTCAGGGACATTAAGCAGTGGGTCAGAATTCATTTTGGCAAATGCGCGCATTAAGACTGTTTCTGATACGCGCGGCGCGCACTTGCTCGTACAGCGTAAACCGACTAAATTAAGAGTTATTTTTCGCACCTTGTGCTTTAACGTTCGAATACACATAGTTATGTGTCAAAATGCCTGTCTCCTTGTCAACAGTCATTTGTGTCTTAAATGAACGTTAATAGTTAAAGATAAAGCATGTGCAATAGTTGGCTATTATAAGATTCTGGCATTATATGATGAGATTTTAAAGGGATATAGTTCACCCGAAAATTTAAATATTATAGTATCAGTTTACACACAATACAATACACACAATACAACAGTATTATTTACTCAGTTTCAAGTTGTTCTGAACCTTTATGAATTTCTTTGTTCTCAACATAAAAGAAGATATTTTGAAGAATATTCATAACCACCAGGAAGTGGTCCCTGTTGACTCCAATAGTGTTTTTTCTCTCCATACTATGGAAGTCATGATGGCAAAGAAACTGTTTGGTTACCAGTATTCCAGTGTTCCAAATATATATGTTTGCATTCAACAGCAGAAGGAAACTCATACAGGTTGAGAACAACAACAACATAACTTTAATTTTTGGGTGAACTATTCCTCCAAAGTAGCCTAATATAGCTGCTGTTGCCATTTGGCCCAGTGAGGTCTTAAAGGGGTTGTATGATGCGATTTCAATTTTTCCTTTCTCTTTGGAGTGTTACAAGCTCTTGGTGCATAAAGAAGATCTGTAAAGTTGCAAAGACTAAAGTCTCAAATCCAAAGAGATATTCTTTATAAAAGTTAAGAGTCAACCACGCCTACCTAAAACGGCTCGTTCTAACACGCCCCCACATGTCTACGTCACGATGTGGGAAGATTTGCATAACGCCGCGGCGCGATGCAACGCAACGCGTAAAAAGACAGTATAAGTCATTATAATCCATAATTATGACCCCACTGGATGCAACAAATGCCTCGTTTGTAATTGGTTTTCATGTTTTTGAATCGTAGCTCCGGCCGGACAGGGCATCACAGTATGGTAAAGGATGTAACATTTCCGTCTCACTCTTGAGGTATTCGGCCAATCACAACGCACTGGATAGCTGGCCAATCAGAGCACACCTCGCTTTTTCAGACCGATGAGCTTTGTAAAAATCGACACGTTTCAGAAAGGCGGGGCATAGAGGAGAAACAATAATGTACAGTATGTGGAAAATAATGTGTTTTTTTTAAACTTTAAACCGCATAAACACATTTTTTTACACCAAATAATGTTCTTTTTAGCAACATCATATGACCCCCTTTAATGCGGCCCTGAGGATTCACCAGATGCTGCTCAAGTACTCACTTTGACATGATTCTTAACCACATTTGTTCTTTCTAATCGCTGGTCCTCGGGGATGCCAATTTCCTCCCAGATGTCCTTCAGATGGCAGAGAGCTTTATTCAGACATGCCACTGATTCTGCAGCAATCACCTCACTAAAATCATTGAGAGAAAGAACAGAAAATACATTGTTGATAAACATCTATTCCTTGACATTTATGTACTTACAGATATCCACCAGTGATTAGGTTCATTAATAACATTAACAGAAGTTACTACATTATTATCTACTTAAAAATTTCGTTATGTACATTCGATTGTTTAGAACTGCGATTAAACGTTTTCATATATTGGCATTTATTCATTCAGTGAATGCACGTTAACTTATTGCTTTACTGAGTCATGTTTGCCATGACATTATATAAATACCGTTAACGTTACCCACCCATACGAGCTGGAGCTGAAATGAGCTGAAAACACCTGCTATCTCAACAGCAGTAACGTTAGGCGCTGCATGAATCTCAGACAGTTAAATGACATGTAAATTAATGACCGCGTGTGTGGATTAACATAAATTACAATGCCAAATGTCATCTTCAAAACAAGCTGCAGCTCGAACTACATTTTGATCAAATGACACGCGTTTAAATCTGTCTCCGCATTCGTAAATAAACACCCCCAAATTAAAACATATCAGCAAACGTACTCACCTCTTCCTCATCTTCACCCCAAGGCAAGGCTTTTCGCTTGTTTATTTGTGTTTTGTAAAGGCATATGTGACTGCACAGTCCTCGCACTCCGGCCGTGCGCGTAACCGTTTCTGTCCGATTCAAAATATGCGTCGAAAGAGCGCCGCTCGTCTGATTGGCTGATTCGAGCTTTCCTGCGCATGCGTGAGGAAGTGTCAGACAAACAGACGGATTCTTCCACCGTGACCTCAGAGACGTTTTTAAACGACCACTTCTCATTTTTTTCCATTAATATTTTATAGTAACGAAAAATAAGTAATTGTTCGACAATAGTGATGGTCCATTTTACCCTATATTTCCGACGTCGTATAACAAATATCTTGAAATATCTCTGTTTATTGCACTATTTATATTTCATTTCCATACCCATATTTGGTTTGTTTAAAACAAGCTGCTTTTCATGCTAGGTTAAATTTGTTAGATAATAGATAATATTAAACATATCTAATACATCTCATAACAAAGTGTATCACATGTACCATATTTGTGTAATGTGCTTATTGTATGTCATATTGTTGGTCATTTCAAAAATAAACGAATTAACTTTGACTTGAAAATATACACATAGCTAAATGGGTTCACTGGCCATTTCACTGTGTACTCAATAATAGTTGGATGGAGCTAAAAGACACACCTGACACCAGTAACTGTTTTATTGATCAGTTTTGAATCAGTTACTGCATGCATGGCAAGTTCTGAACAGAGAGTATAAAACATTTTTATAAAGTGCAGTTTTTTATATCTCATGTTTGCCAATTATCCACGCATAAATTCAGAAGACGCCTGCGCAGACAAATAAAGGGACAGTTCACCCGAAAACCACAATCCTGTTGTAATTTACTCACCCTCATGCCGTTCCAGACATGCATGACTTTCTTTCTTCTGTGAAACATAAAAGAAAATATTTTGAGAAACATTTCCGTGTTTTTTTCTATACACGGTCAATGGTCACCAAAGCTGTTTGGTTACAAACATTCTTCAAAATATCTTCTTCTATGTTCTGCAAAAGAAAGAAAGTCATGCAGATTTGAAACACATGAGGGTGGGTAAATGATGGCAGAATTGTCCTTTTTGGGTGAACTAACCCTTTAAGAATAATCACACCTTTTTGTCATCCCCTGTAACAGTACATTTGTTTGGGGATGATATAGATGTCTGGGACAATTCGGGCATATTCTGTCCTTTTTGCCCTCTCCTGGAATTGATCATAGAGTGTCTTCTTGTGGAATGTTGTCTCAGACTCAAGCATGGTTATCCAGTAATGCTTCCAGAAGCCGTGCACTGTTAGTGATGGCTGTAGTGACAACTACAAATCTGCAACCTTTCAAATGGACAGTTTTATATTAACCATATATTCAATTTGTTTTACGTAATAAGCATCTATAAAAACACAAAATACATTCTAGAATATGTCACCTCTTTCCTTGCCAAGGAACCGGAGTGCAGAGATCTCAGAGAAGGTGCAGCCACCAAGAAACATCACTAGAACAATCCTTTGAGCATCAGTTTTGTTCCTGGCTTCTGAACTACTACTGCCACCTGAAACAAAAACAGGACAAAAGAGGGGGAAGTGTATGCTTGATAGCAAAAAAAATAAAACATCAATAAAATTATTAATAATAATAATAATAATAATGATAATAATCAAATTTTTCTAAACATAAGAAAATTGACAAAAATATTTTTTTTTACAAATTCCAAACAATAATGAATATATTCTGAACTACTACACCACCATATAATTACTTTACATAGCTTACAAACATTATATAAAGCTTTATACAAACAAATGTTTTGTTCAAACCTGTTACAGCAAATTCCTGTCCATTCAGCATGCGTGTAACCTCCTCCAGACCTGTCCAACCATCTCTCTCCAACACCTGCGGACAGCACGGGCCAGAAGCAAACACTGTCAAATGTTGTATAGCAAACACGAGGAACAAGCTGCTTTTCATGCTAGGTTAAATTTGTTAGATAATAGATAATATTAAACATATCTAATACATCTCATAACAAAGTGTATCACATGTACCATATTTGTGTAATGTGCTTATTGTATGTCATATTGTTGGTCATTTCAAAAATAAACGAATTAACTTTGACTTGAAAATATACACATAGCTAAATGGGTTCACTGGCCATTTCACTGTGTACTCAATAATAGTTGGATGGAGCTAAAAGACACACCTGACACCAGTAACTGTTTTATTGATCAGTTTTGAATCAGTTACTGCATGCATGGCAAGTTCTGAACAGAGAGTATAAAACATTTTTATAAAGTGCAGTTTTTTATATCCCATGTTTGCCAATTATCCACGCATAAATTCAGAAGACGCCTGCGCAGACAAATAAAGGGACAGTTCACCCGAAAACCACAATCCTGTTGTAATTTACTCACCCTCATGCCGTTCCAGACATGCATGACTTTCTTTCTTCTGTGAAACATAAAAGAAAATATTTTGAGAAACATTTCCGTGTTTTTTTCTATACACGGTCAATGGTCACCAAAGCTGTTTGGTTACAAACATTCTTCAAAATATCTTCTTCTATGTTCTGCAAAAGAAAGAAAGTCATGCAGATTTGAAACACATGAGGGTGGGTAAATGATGGCAGAATTGTCCTTTTTGGGTGAACTAACCCTTTAAGAATAATCACACCTTTTTGTCATCCCCTGTAACAGTACATTTGTTTGGGGATGATATAGATGTCTGGGACAATTCGGGCATATTCTGTCCTTTTTGCCCTCTCCTGGAATTGATCATAGAGTGTCTTCTTGTGGAATGTTGTCTCAGACTCAAGCATGGTTATCCAGTAATGCTTCCAGAAGCCGTGCACTGTTAGTGATGGCTGTAGTGACAACTACAAATCTGCAACCTTTCAAATGGACAGTTTTATATTAACCATATATTCAATTTGTTTTACGTAATAAGCATCTATAAAAACACAAAATACATTCTAGAATATGTCACCTCTTTCCTTGCCAAGGAACCGGAGTGCAGAGATCTCAGAGAAGGTGCAGCCACCAAGAAACATCACTAGAACAATCCTTTGAGCATCAGTTTTGTTCCTGGCTTCTGAACTACTACTGCCACCTGAAACAAAAACAGGACAAAAGAGGGGGAAGTGTATGCTTGATAGCAAAAAAAATAAAACATCAATAAAATTATTAATAATAATAATAATAATAATGATAATAATCAAATTTTTCTAAACATAAGAAAATTGACAAAAATATTTTTTTTTACAAATTCCAAACAATAATGAATATATTCTGAACTACTACACCACCATATAATTACTTTACATAGCTTACAAACATTATATAAAGCTTTATACAAACAAATGTTTTGTTCAAACCTGTTACAGCAAATTCCTGTCCATTCAGCATGCGTGTAACCTCCTCCAGACCTGTCCAACCATCTCTCTCCAACACCTGCGGACAGCACGGGCCAGAAGCAAACACTGTCAAATGTTGTATAGCAAAAACGAGGAAAAAAAGGCAAAGCATTCAAAGCCTTCTTTTAAAGCTAACCTGTTCAATCAGTTTGCAGCTCAGAGGAATATAAGCACCACTGAAAACATAAGCCATGTCTCGCGGAACGCGAAGATCATATTCCTCACCAGACTTTGGTACCTGTAGGTGTAGATAAGATGATCATGATGTAAATATTTCTTGTTTTTTTGTTTGTTTTTTATTCTTTATAGTAATTAAATATTGTATGTTTGCTAACCAGAGCAAGTCTTTTACTCAGAGCTCGAAAATTGCTCTTCTTAGCCAATGAGGAAAAGGCATCCGTCAGCTTCCCTGAACAGAAAACATAAGAAACTACCCAGTGCATGTATGTATGTGTACATTGTAGTCAATGTAATAAATATGAGAGTGAGAGAGGAAGAGAGAGAGCGAATGAGAGGTTCCACATTCTCACCTACAGTCTTGTCATTGACAAGTTTCCCCACTTTACTCTCCATGACTGTCAGTGTTTCTCCAGCTTGCTGTTCTTCCAGCAGACCCAGCTGTCTCAGGTTTGCAAACGTCAGCAGGTGCTTTATACCATAACTCTAAACAAGAGACAACTTACGGTATCACAGAGAACATAATCTCAAAAACACCGTCAGTCATTTAAGACGTGCCACTTAAACACTCATTTTAAAGACATAAAGTAATACCATGGCTTTATGAAGTGTTACGTAAATGAGTTGTTTATAAATGTCAACTTTCAAATCATAACATACCTGAAGGTACTGCGCTTTAAGAGATCTATAGTCTTTGGACAAAAGACCTGTTGGAGAATTAAATGCAATATTTAACAGAAATTGTTGAAATAAACAGCCTTAGCCATGGAATTTGTATACAAGACTCACCATTTTCTGTGATGGACAACAGGCAAAGGAGTCTAAGACTGTCAATCATTGACACCTGATGGACAGAGTTTCCTCAAGCATGATTATTACTGTAGCATTATTATACCAGTGTCTCATAACAATAACATTCTTTGTTTTCTCATACCTGTCTGTTGATATGTTCTTCAATGTAGGTGATACATTCACGGATCTCAAAGCCTTCAAGTAATGCTAGTATTTGTAAAAAAGGAGGAGATACAGAAATGAGTGAGATTAGAGTGTCATGTTGTAGATTTCAGATTTGTGTGATTTTAAACTTATCAAGACATCTTACAGTGTTCAGTCTTCAACAATTCCTGGAAATCTTGCTTGGTTTTCTTCTTCATCATGGATTCACTTGCACCAATGTCTAGTGGAAGAACAAAGCATGTTCTTTTATTTATTACTAAGAAACTGTCTTCATTATTTGCAAGCAGCTGTACTAACTAACAGGATTTGCTCTATTTATGATGCCAAAGGAAACATTTAACACACTACCGTTCTAAAATGTGGGTGCGGAGAGATTTTATTAATGTTTCTGAAAGAAGTCCCTAATATGCTGATTTGGTGCTCAAGAAACATTTCTTGCTATTATCAAAATTTTTTGTGGAAATCATGATTGTCAGGATTTGTAAAAAAATTGAGAGTACAAAAGAACAGCTTTTTTTTTTTAACAGAAATTATATGTGTTATCACTGCCATTTCCAGTCAATTTAATGCACCCTTGCTGTCCTCAAACTTTTAAGCAGTAGTGTATACACTACTTACGAAGACTGAGAAGACGATGTTCCTGTTTCAGTCCTTTCAGTTCATCTGAAACAAATGCCTTCATCTGCTGGATGTCCATCCCACGCCGCTTCTGTTACCAATTCATACATTTTTGGATTATTGTCACACTGAGAATATGCTAAAATGTATCCTAACATGCTATGAAACACATGCCATCTGTAGCAAGCACTTACATCATATGCTGTTTGAAGATTTTTGGCCTTCTGGCTTAAAAAGCCAAACACATTGGAGAAATGCTCGTTCCTTATTTCACTGAACACCTGATTAATTAAACAAGCAGGGTCATTTTTTTAAAATCGCAGTTACTAACCACTGTCAATTTAATAAAGTCTATCTAACTCCTACTTTATCTTGAGAGTTAAGCATCACTTTGATGCTCTTGTCAGAGGAAGTGACATCTGGTCCCAACTCCACAGTGCCTAGAAACAAAATCAAAATGACATAAAAAAAGATGAACTTGAGAATGTTATAATTAACCTGTTATACAGACAGACATAAACATGTTTTAAACAACTACGACACAAAGACCTTGTCATATAAAATTGCTTACTTACCACATTTTATTCTGAAAAGATCATCTACCAATCCCTCATAAACAACTTGAGAGCAGAGAGGAGTAACAAAGTCCACATCTAAAATATTAAAATACAAATTATGCAAGTTGTTATTACAACAGAAAAAGGCAATTTTCCAAAAACTATAATAGTACAACTAAATGTAAATGTATTTTCATTTTAAATAACTGACCTCTGTCAACAAGAAAGACTTTCGCAAATTCAGGTTGCCTTGTTCTCTGTTCCCCCTCCTCCATTAGCTCCCTCCAGGATTCATACACCATCTACATACGCAGACATACATGAGAGACTGCATTGATTCTCATCCATGGATCAGCGGAAACGAACCAAAAGGAGGGGGGGCCCGTGGGGGGATTGGGTTGCAGAACTAATTTTAATATTAGAAACAGTATTAATATTACCTATAAAATAATAAATATATTACCTACTAATGGTATTAGTTAGTTGCCACATGTATTAGCCTATGTATTTTTAAGCTATGATTCTCCCACGATTCTGAAAACAAAACAGACAACCAAACGAAATATGTAATTTACTTGAGTTTCTGAAAAAAAGTTTTATTAATGTTATAGTAAATGAGTCTATTTAAAAATATTTATTAATTTAAACGAATTAGCCTAATAATGTAAAAAAAATCATTTTAAATAAATGAAGCTAAAAGAAGACTTGTTTCGTTTTGAATCTCTTGAATGAATGATTCAGACATCAAATGCATTTAACACTCACTGTTCGCCACCTACTGGAATAATGTTTGCAGCGTATCATTACTTTCAAAGACCCATTTTGATCGCGGCTCCCGCAACATCAGAGTCTACATCCGGACTTTAAACTTTTATCAATAATTTTGTTATTATTTAAAGCCCATGTCATATTTGTACCAGACCTCAAAAGTAACCCGGGTTAAAAGTAGCCCCCCACCCCCACCGCTTCCGCGACCCATGTTCTCATCCACCAAAATCTGTTAATCTGTGAGGTTAAGGGTTTTGTCACAAATCCTCACCTTGGCACATCTACCAATACCATACACCTTTGAGAAGGAGCCATAGACAGACTGTAAAAGATGTAGAGCACTTCCTGCAGTGGTCACCCAGCGCTGGTCTCCCTCCTGATGAATCAAATAACAATTACTCATATATCAATCATTACTCATAAATTACACTAATAGTCAAAAGTTCCAGGTCAGTTAAAGAAATCAATACTTTTATTTAGCAAGGATGCATTGAATTCATCTAAATCCAGTAAAGAGATTTATGACCTTTAGGTCTTTTTCAAATAAATGTTATTCTTTCTATGAAAGTTTTCACAAAAATATTAAGCAGCAACACTAAAATTAAGAAGAAATGCACCATATTACAATGATTTCTGAAGAATCACGTGACACTGAAGAGTATATCTCAATAATATTCCTTCTAGATAACAATACATACTAAAAATCCCAAAATAGGTAAAAATCTCACAAACTAATCAAACATACCAAATTTAAAACTGTTTTTCAGATCTAAAGATCTGTAGCATCCAAATCAGCATTACCAGAAAGTTATCTCTGAAGAATTCAGGCAGCTCTAAACTCAGGATGTCGTCATCCAGAGGAAGAATGTAGAAATTCCACTCATCGGTTGTAACATCTAAGAAAAGAACATCATAGTTAATGTCTGTATTAGGAGACACAGTGCCAAAGATAGACAAATTAACACACTTAATCTACCTCCATAGACTCCCTGCTCTTCCAAAACCGTCTCACATGCATAAAACTGTAAAGAATGTCATAACATTACAATCAGACAACAAAATAAAACTTCTGCATATTTTAACATAATTTCCAGACCACCAGTTACCTTTTGTGGGGTAAATATGATCTTATATCTTCTGAATCTTCCAGCCACTTTGTCTGCATTAACTAAATCTGTAAACATTAAGACAAACTATTAATCTATACTTCCTCCTGCTTTTTCCACATAGATTATATCACAACAGCAAACCACGGCAACCTGAAATCCACTTCACAGTTTGTATTCGAGGACGTATCAGGAAGCACAGCCTGCGAAAAAAAGAGAAAATATGTATATTTCAGAGAGGAAGTATATAAACGAAACTTGTTTTTGCTTGTTAAAAACATAATTTTACTTACTGGTCTGAACTGCTGACAATTGGCTTCAGCTCAACTTTGTACAGTTTGTCGACTTCATGTTGCTAAAGGAGAAATCAGGTGTAGACTTGTTAGATTAATTAAGGTGTGAATACACATTTCCATACTTATATTTCAAGAAGATCATAATCGCAAGGCATTTAGAAATACAGTGTGCCAATACTTTCTCCTAAAATGGTATACATGATATCATACCTTTAGGATTGTGACATTTGCTATTCGATCGAGAGGGCTCATCAAATCTGCATCAATAAATAAATCCTTCTTCCCTGGCAACTGCAAAACATACATGTTGACACTTAAAATACAAATTCAAAATGGAAAGTACTTTTTTGAAGAAAGAAGAATATAAAGACACAGTGGGTGGTCGTGTCACCTGTTCCAGCAGGAAGATGAGCTGGTCTCTGGCCAGTCTTTTGAGCAGGGAGAAATCAGGCAGCTCAGGAGCATCTCTCCACTCTGTGTGTGCCATATGGAGGGATCCTACCACACTTTCCACAGCTGGATAAACCTGTAAAACATTTCTCTCTAACATTACTGTCACTCCGATCTGTGGAAGCTGCATGTGCAGAATGACAAGTATCACTCGATTACTGCAGCTTCTGTCATTGAAGCTGGTTTTCCTTTAGCAGCTCAAACTCTCAAAAGTCTTTTATTTACACAGTTTATCAACATATCGGAACGTCCAATTCCACGTTGCAAGTCAGCCACAATAATAACATAAATGTAGTCATCCGAATTAATTTAATCAGCATGTATACAAAAAGCAGTGAACTCGTATCGTATACCTCGTCCACCTTTTTCCGGAAGTGGTTTCGCTATCTCACAGTCCGATTCATTTCCGCAAATCGGTTCTTTTGAACAGCAAAACCAGTGATTCTTTTGCGTCGTACAGTGGTCTTTGGAGGTTCTGAAACGTTACAGTAAAACCATACATGTAGGCACATATCGCTATTTACCACGTTTTTCGATTAATGCAGGTGTTTATTGTAATTTCACACGATCCGGTTCAGTCTGCTGCAGCCATTATTCATAATGAAAAACAAGTCATTTTGCAACAATAAGCGTACTAATTCATCACTTGGCTAAAATGGTTTTTGCACGCTTTAATAGACGTATAGTTATTATTATCATAGTTTCATATGTTTGTTGATAAACCTGTAGTACATATTAACACTGTGTGCTGTTTTCAGTTATTCGTTTCATTTCAACCTTTGAACTGATTCATTGAAAAGATCCAAATAAAAAGAACATTTATTTCACGACTCGAACAGCGCTACGCTTGTTTCACTACGGACATCTTAGACTTGCGGACACAAAAACAACAGTGTTCTATACACAAACAACATAGGTATATCGTAACATTACCCTCATTTTTAATATACAAGTGAGTTGTATGTTCTGGGTTATGTATTCAGTCCGAACTATTTATAAAAGAAATATCAGACTGTGCATTTAATATCTTATTCTAACGTTACTTTAAAGTAACTATGAGCTCATCGTCGACTGCAGTGCTGCTGGAAACGATCAACTTCGCTGCAGAGAAACATCGCAATCAGCGCCGTAAAGATCCTGATGCAACACCATACATCAATCACCCCATAGGTACTGTACTACAGCACTTCACTGCAGACACGCTTCAATCATTTATAATCCGACAGACTCCCGAAAATAAAGCTGCTTTTCTTGTCTTTCCAGGGGTGGCGAGGATTTTAAGTCACGAGGGTGGAATTACAGATATTGAAGTTTTACAAGTGAGTCCGAAATATGGTTGTGCGTTACTTTTAAAGAACATACGAGTTTGTACATTATCTAAAAATGCTTCATTCGTGAAGAAATAACAAGAGTTGTATTTTATGAGCCGTGCAGTAATGACCAGTGTTGGGGAAAGTTACTTTTAAAAGTAATGCATTACAATATTGCGTTACTCCCTAAAAAAGTTACTAATTACGGTACGTAGTTACTTTGTATGTAAAGTAATGCGTTACGTTACTTTCGCGTTACTTTTTAAATATAAGCAGGGCTTGATTGTTTTTAATATAAGAAGTTCTATTTGTAGCAAATGTAAAAGCCCTTTCACACCAAAAAGTGTAATGAATAAACCTCAGGCAAAAGTACATTCACGTCTGTACAGTAGAACGCAGGAGAAGAAACACTCTTCAGCAATAAAAAAACAAAGCACAATTGTTAGTTTCTCTAAAGTCATTTTTGCTTATTAGTATGGTTGAACTGGATCATCAAAGGTCAGCAGCAAAGACATTGGTTAATAGAATGGGATTAGATACATTTGTGTTATTTAACATATTTAATTATTGCAGGTTTGCGTCATTCTGAGTTTGCGTTTCAGTGTTTTAATTCATTTTGATGAATACTAAATCTGTTTTTTGCGAGTGGGATGAATTAATGCACATTCACATTTAGTCTAGAACTACAGTAACATCATGTTCACACAGCGCACACAACTCCTCTGCACTTCTGATTTCTCCCAATATGGGGACAGGAGACTTGTCAGTCAATAAATGGGAAAACAAAGTAACTGGCGTTACTTTTTTGAAAAAGTAACTCAGATATTTTCTTGTAAATTAAAAAGTAATGCGTTACTTTACTAGTTACTTAAAAAAAGTAATCTGATTACATAACTCACGTTACTTGTAATGCGTTACCCCCAACACTGGTAATGACAGAGGCTAATGGAATTTCACAAATGCATTTATGTGGTTGATCTGTGTGCTCTTGTGTACAGGCTGCATTGCTTCATGACACAGTCGAGGACACTGACACAACCATCGAGGAGCTGGAGTCTTCGTTTGGACCAACTGTGGCGAGAATCGTCCAGGAGGTTACAGATGACAAGTCATTACCAAAAGAGGAGAGAAAGCGGCTGCAAGTGGAGCACGCACCACACCGCAGCCATCAGGCCAAACTAGTTAAACTAGCTGACAAGTTGTATAATTTGCGGGACCTCAATCGTTGCACTCCCACTGGTGAGATATTGAAACTGCCGCTCAGGAGATTTGTGTGAGGATGAATGCATTTCCGACCTGTAGTGATACTGCTTGTGTCTTGGCATCTGTGTTGACAGGTTGGACGGCTGAAAGGGTTCAAGAATACTTTGTGTGGGCATCTCAGGTGGTAAAAGGCCTCCGTGGCACCAATGCAGCACTTGAGGAGAAAATGCAGCAGCTCTTTTTGCAGAGAGGATTGGAGTTATGATGATGTCACGAGCCATTGGTTGAAATTAAATGATTGTGCTTTTTTTGTGTGTGTAACTGATCATCATGGGATGTTCTTTACACTAAAGGGCCAGTTCAGGCCACCCCGAAGCCGTTCCAAACGTGTTTTGACTTACTTTCTTCTGTGGAACACAAGAGAAGATTTCCTCAACATTTTCTTTGGTGTTCCACTTAATAAAGTCATACAGAACAACATCAGGGTGGGTGAATGACGAATACATTTAATAATATGAAGACGTGTATAATACATGCACAGATATAAAATGCAATTAAAGTTTTGTTAAATGTGACAAATGTTGTTGTCTATTAATATTCCTAAATGAATCAATATGAATAATACAAATATAAAAGATGCTGCTTTATTATCAAGATGTAAAAAAGACTGATATAGTTACTATTAATGTTTCTACAGTAAAACTGTATGAGGCTACAAGACTTTGGAATAAACCTATAAATCCTGAGAGAATCACATTAATTTGAGTGAGAGGGGGGCATAAATATGAATTCATATTTTTAGGGGAAGAAAATGGAAGCTGATTTCCACAATAATAGTCATAATTTTAGAAATACCGTGCTTTTACCTGATTACTATAATTCAGCTTATCACCAAAGGGAAGGACAGGACAAAAATAATGTGTTGAATAAAAGAAGTGCAATTAAAGGTAGGAACTACTTAATAGGTCAGTGTTTCCGGGGACGATGTTTCGTGCGGTTTGTACTGGCGTACAATTTCCGGACGTCCATGTTAGTGGATAAAGGATTTTTACGGGCACTTTCAGCGATTGTGTTTTTTTTCTAGTGTAAAGGGTCCCGCGTGAAGTGTCCAAAATGTCAGGATCAAACGCATTAAATGCCAAGCAGCCGCCGATTCAGTCGACGGCGGGAGCTGTGCCGATCCGCAATGAAAAAGGTATTTGTTTGAGAAACAGTTAGCTTTGACTATTAGCATGTGTTGACATGATTCGTGCGAGTGTCTAATATTATGCGATAACGAAAACATGAAAGTCTTGGTCTTATACAAAATAAATCCCCTGTAGTTGAACTGTGTTTGTATGCGGATCTTGTCTCGTATTTTTAGTTTCTAATGTTAGCTTGTTTTTTATCGGGTTTTTTTCTACACGGCAGTCTTTTAATAACTTTGCACATTACTGAATTTGAATTAATACATGCACAGATATGAAATGCAATTAAAGTTTTGTTAAATGTGACAAGTGTTGTTGTGTATTAATATTCCTAAATGGATCAATATAAATAATAAAAATGTAAAGATACTGCTATTTTACCAAGATGCATCTCGGTAACTGTAGTTTACTTTTCGTACAGTTACTGTTTTACATAGTTACTGCACAAGACTTGGTACCTTTGGAATAGACCAGCACAGTGGTTTAGTTATTAAATGTCAAAACGTGCTGAAAACTTCTATCAGTGCTGGGGGAAAGCCTACAGGTGCATCTCAATAAATTAGAATGTCGTGGAAAAGTTCCCTACCAAGTATTGAGTACATGTACAGTAAATGAACATACTTTCCAGAAGGCCAACAATTCACTAAAAATGTTTTTTGTATTGGTCTTATGAAGTATTCTAATTTGTTGAGATAGTGAATTGGTGGGTTTTTGTTAAATGTGAGCCAAAATCATAACAATTAAAAGAACCAAAGACTTAAACTACTTCAGTCTGTGTGCACTGAATTTATTTTATACATGAGTTTCACAATTTGAGTTGAATTACTGAAATAAATTAACTTTTCCACGACATTCTAAGTTATTGAGAGGCACCTGTATATTAATTTCAACAAGAGGACAGCATAAAAATTCAGAATTTTAGAAAATGTAGAAAACAAAATCTGGTTTCCATAGTAACACAGCTTATGACTCTATCAATGTTTTTTTTAACTTCAGGTGAAATTTCTATGGAGAAGGTGAAGGTGAAGCGATATGTGTCGGGTAAGCGTCCAGACTATGCCCCGATGGAGTCCTCGGATGAAGAAGAGGAGGATTTCCAGTTTGTTAAGAAGGGTAAAGAGGCTGAGCCAGAGATGGAAATTGAAGAGGAGGAAAAATCTGATCCTCGTCTTCGACGTCTCATGAATCGAGTGACTGAAGATGTTGAAGAAAAGTACAGCTTATCCATCTGTGCAATACAATTTATACAAATATATTTTTCTTGTGAAAGGGATCTGTTGGCGTTAATGTGAAACGCAATACTATGTCTTCTACAGGCTTGCGAGACACAGGCAGATAGCAGAGCCAGAGCTGATTGCTCAAAGCAGTGAGGACTCGGATGAAGGAACGTGGCACCCTGAGCGAGAGGAGAGCAGCGAAGATGAAGAAGAGGAGGAAGTCGATGATGAAGTGGGTCACTTGAACAGAATTTGTGGGAAAAGTTAAATGAGTACTAAATGAGTTTACAAATAAGTGGTTTTATGTCTTCTGTTCTGTATAGGAAATTGAGAGGAGGAGAGCAATGATGCGTCAACGTGCACAAGAGAGGAAGAACGAGGAAATGGAGATCTTGGAGGTGGAGGTGGAGGAGGAGGGGGGGAAGTCTGGTGATGAACCTGAATCAGAGTCAGAGTACGAGGAATACACAGACAGCGAGGATGAAACTGAGCCTCGGTTAAAACCGGTGTTTATCCGCAAGTGAGTTTCTTAAACATAAATGAACCTTAAAGGGACAGTTCACCCAAAAATATATTTTTGTCATTTACTCACTGTAAAGTTGTTCCAAATCTGTCTGAATTGTTTTCTTCTGCTAAACACAAAAGATGGTGTTTTAAAGAATGATGATGGTGACCAAGCAGTTGCTGGTAGCTGTTGACTTCATACTATGGAAGTCATTAGCCCCCTTCACACAGTAATACCAATAAATGGCTGTAAAATGACCGGAATGACTTTACCAGTAAATACAAAAATGCACTGTTCACACCGGCCAATGACGTTCCGTCTTTTTACCGGTAAAGCATCATTCACGGATCAGTTTCAGAATACCGGTAAATTCTGTGACATCATCTGTAAACATGGAGGGGTATATGCGGTCAGTGTTTTTGTTGATGTTTTCAATTTTGTGTCAAACGTTCACATTCATGCAGCTGCTTTTGGGCCAGAGACATCGTATTAGACGACTTCAAACCGAACTACACAGCGCAGAGTAAATGCGTCATCTGTGTCAGAATGTTATGATTGGCCCAGAGTAGACGTCTTACATCAGCGTGTTGTGAACTCGTATGTGCTCATACCGCTAATCTCGTTCTGCGTTCACACAGAGCACATTACTGGTAATTTACAGGTAATGTTACAACTTCTCATACCAACACAAATTGCCAGAATGAATTTACCGTTATTTTTGAAAAGGTCCTGTTCACACATGAGCTTTTAACGGCAATTTACCAGTAAAGACTGTATGTGTGAAAGGGACTAATGTCTACCAGCAACTGCATGGTACTAAATATTAAAATTAGAGCGGAAAATGTAAAAAAATCTAATTCAATATATTATTAAAGTAAATAACAGTGATAAACACTGCGATTTATTTAATTTCTTATCAATATGACTTCTCAGGAAGGACAGAGTGACAGTTGCAGAACGAGAAGCAGAGGAGCAGCATCAGAAAGAGCTGGAAATCGAGGCCAAAAAACAGGCTGAAGAGAGGCGCCGCTACACGCTGAAGATCGTAGAGGAGGAGGCCAAGAAAGAGTATGAGGAGAACAAACGTACTCTGGCTGCTCTTGATGCTCTGGACACTGATGGAGAAAATGAGGAGGAGGAGTACGAGGCCTGGAAAGTGAGAGAACTGAAGCGTATTAAGAGGGACAGAGAAGACCGAGAAGCGTGAGTACTCATCATTTTTGCAAAAACTGTTTTGTTTCACATTAGTAACACAAGTGATAACCCCACATGGCATTTTTGTTAAATAACAGAATAGAGAAAGAGAAAGCAGAAATCGAGAGGTTTCGCACTCTTACCGAGGAAGAGCGTAGAGCGGAACTGCGGACAAATGGAAAACTCGTCACCAACAAAGCAACAAAGGGCAAATACAAGTTTCTGCAGAAGTACTATCACAGAGGAGCTTTCTTCATGGTGAGTAATGAGCAGATCATCATTACCCGATCGTAATCTGTTCTCGTTGTATAATATACATTTCATCTTTTCTGCAGGATGAAGAGCAAGATGTCTTCAGGAGAGACTTCAGTGCTCCAACTCTCGAGGACCATTTCAACAAAACAATCTTACCCAAAGTCATGCAGGTCAGCGCCGTCGATTTGAATTCATCATATTGGTCTCGGCGTTGATGCCATTTACTAGCAGAGTTGTATAGTTAAATTCTTCAAATCAGTTTGTTTTTCAAAGTTAGCAATGTTATACACACACATATATTTATATATATATATATATACATACACATATTTTTCCCCATGTCATGTGTGGGACTCTGTATCTGTTAAGTTTGAAAGTGCAGTTATATGTAGTAACTACCTT